TATTTGCTTGAAAATGAAGAAGAAAAAAGTAAGATATTGCAGTATGTTTAGTTTTTCAGTCCAGCTAATCATTGCCGCTTTGAGTGTGGAGCTTCTCACCAGCGTTTGAAAGCTGCTGCTGTCAGATCGGCTGTGAAATAGTCTGTTGCTCTGTGGCTAAAAGCATATGAAAGGATCAGAAAAACAATCATGACGTGACAACTCTGTTACCCTCCGACAGGATTTAAATTGTCCTAGTTCAGTCCTGAACTGAAATGGATGTTGGGCAGCTATGTCGAGGTGAATCAGTGTGTTTTGAAAAGCTTGTTGGACAGAAATGTTGTGACGGTATGAACAGATTGCTTAGTTCAGAAAAAATAAACGCACTGCTGCAAGTGTTTAAAGTCAACTGAGGAAAAGGAATCATGTTTGAATAACGTAGGAGAAGTATTACAGAAATGACCAGCATTGAGCCTGGATTTTCCTCCTAAGAGCTCTAATTCTTCTCCAGGAGGACTGAGGAAAACTGTCTGCACAGACCTCAGACCTATCAGAACATCTCACCTCCGACAAAGCAGGACGGTTTTTACTTTTACAGATCTGCATGTGACTTCATTTAGGAAAATGCAGGCCTGCCTGGAAACCAATGGGATGACCTCATCCTCCCGACAGGTCCTTCAGTTGTTCACTAAAAGTATTGAATGTCCAGTTAGGGGGCCGCGCACCACCAGTTGAGAACCCTGGCTTTAAGACTTTACTGTAGCACCGACCTTAGTTTCTGACAATGAAGATTATTCAGAGGACTTTAGTTAATATTAAGCAGGGCTGACACAGGGGCCTGGGCCTGGCTCCTCATAGGGGAGGAGGGGCCACTCTTTAATAATACATTTGTCCCACAGGAGCCACAACAAAAATGTCTGCCATTTCTTCATGGATCTGCCGTTATGAATCTCTAAGTGATGGCACCTCTCTGTGTGAAGACCCAGAGCAGACCTTAAATTTAATGAAGCGAGTATGATAACTCTTTTAGGACTGAATCTGCTGATAGGCTGTAGTAGAGCTAAACTATCAGAGCAGAGTTCGCTCTGTCCAGTTTCTTTTCCTCCATGGAATGAACACTGCAGACCATTAAACAGGCAGGCAGGACTTGTAGTAGTTTCTGTTTACTGTTGTGTGTATGCAGTACTGTAGGTGCTTTCTGGCTTGTAGATAGCTCTTTATCTGATGCAGGCTGACACAAATAGAGACAGACAGACTCCTCAGCTGCCAGTTTGACCACAAGCTTTAGAAATTGATTCAGAAATTAATATCCAGCTTCAGGAGGCAGAGGCCGGACTCTGGGGGGAATTTACATATTAGTCTAATAGAAATGAATGAGGCATCAGTGACTGCAGAGCACTATCCATCATCTGCACTGACGCTGGCAGCTGCAGGAGGGACTCAGCCTGGTTAGACTGTCACATGTGTAATAATAAGGCATTAATGCAGAGTAAAGTGATGTGGTGTCATCAGGAGGGTGGTGGAGGTCAGAGAAGGAGCTCAGTCTCCTTCACGTCAGAGTGCATCTGCTGCTTAGATAGTCAGGAGTTGAACTGCGCTGGCAGCCTCCATGTTGGCCTGGCCAGCACTTCGCCTGTTGATGATGATGATGTGGCGTTTGACCACACATAAGACCAGGCCTCGGTGGCTGTTGTGGTCGGTGGTGTCACAGCGTAAACCTCAACAGAACTTCCACCTAAGTAGAAGATGAGTGCTTGTTTCCATCTGCTCCTGCTGTGTGAACAGGAGCAGGTTGGTCGATGCATGTAAACAGCTGGTGGAGCTGCTTCTCCTGCAGAGGAGGAGGATACAAACAGTAGAAATCCTCTTAGCTGCACACACACCTAGGCCCAGATGTGTACCTACCAAAATGTGCATGCAGCATTTCTTGTCAGACTAATATATAAGCATAATGAGGATTTCATGGCTCAATAATTATTAGGAAATGTACAGTAATATGTGAGAACTCAGGTGCTGGTGGACGTCGTCTCATGTTTTCACTCACTGATAGATTTTCCAGCTTTGCCTGCTTCCTGCCTCCATTGCTGCTGCTCGGCCAGTCAGCATGCTAAGGTGGACAGTAACACCTTGTCTTGGAGACGCATCCACCTTAAGTCTTTTTTGAGTTAGTTTGACTTATTTTTAAGTCGAGCTTAAACTGATGAGATTCTAAAGTGTAGAGGCAGTTTGTGGGTGTGTGTTGGCTGCAGGCAGCTGTGCTGAGGTTTACCTGAGTGTTTGGAAAAGCTCTTTGCTCATAAAGGGGTTCTCTAAGTCAGAGCCTGGAGAGACGATGACTGTAAAACACATTCTTCTGAAGCCTTTCAACTCGACCCAGACAGGTCTGTTTACTGCCCCGCCATGAATTCAGGCAGTAAAACCTCTCCCAGCCAGAAGCACTCGCTGGAGATGACTTAGTCGAGTCGTACTTTAGCTGTAGAAGTCATTTAGTTTTGTGTTTATTTTAAATATCGTACCAGCTTTTGCTTCATTGATTAGCATGGTGATATGTGAAATTTGAGAACAAGTGTTGTTTGGAAGTTTTAAGTGAAGTTACCAAGTTGATCCTTCTCACAGTCTGTGTTTGGCCAGTGCCTTTGAGAGAGAGAGAGAGAGAACAGGAATGAGCCGGGGACACTGCTGTTTGTGGTCCTCACCTCAACCCCTGCTTCAGAGCTTCACAATAATCTGACTCTCAGTAATCTTTGTGTGATATTACAATATTTCTCACAGCACATCAGCTCTTCCAGTTTCTGCTTATACCTATAAGCTGCCAGCGTTTAAGGAATGAGGAGAGTTCTGACAGACTTCTGCAGGAGGAGGTATGTTGAGTAAATGCTGCATTTCCCACCAGTAGAAACAAACTTAATATCATAATAAAAACAGATGTCTAATCTCTTATTTTATGATGTGAAACACAGGAACTAAACCTGTAATCAGTCCTGCACTGTCCGAGAGAAGGTCGCATTATGTTTACTGGCCTGGACTTTGTAAAATTTAAAAAAGAAACCTGTTTCAGGCCTCAGGTAAATTCTTAATATTAACTTAGTCCAAACTGCCTAACCACGGTAGGAATTAATTGAATTGCTGCTGAAATCTGTGGCAACTTAAGTTGCTTTTTCATGACTGAAATCAGTTCTTTTATAACTATATTTCCATCTATAATCTGTGAATTTGTCAGCCAAGCTCTGAAACCCATCTTTCATCTTTCTTACTCATTTATCTCCATCAGTAAATGAAGGTGCTGGTAACGCATGTTCTTTGCAAGTCTTCTCTCCACCTCTTGTTCGGGGCCTGGGGCCTGGATGGGTTTCACAGCCCGGGGCTATTTTCTCTCCCACTTCACATCTCTGAGAGAATAAGGAATTCCAGTGGCAAAAGCAATCACAAACTCCACATCAAACGTATCCTCGGCTGAATTCCCTGACAGACTAAAATCATTTGTTCCTCTTGCTAAGGCTCAGCTCTGCGTCCCTGGAACCTCTTGCTCCTCTCAGCTGCTTTGTTTTATGTGGTTTCAGCAGCTGTGTCCTCTGGGCCACTCTGTCAGAGCTGATATTGAAGTACACACAGGCTAACTGCAGCAGCAGCAGCAGCCGTTCTGCACATGTCTAGCCTTTTCTCCTCCTGTTAGCATCCTTTTTCATCAGCTTCTGAGTGAGAATTTACATTATGGCAAACCGGCGAGGTAAGACGAGGTCAGGGGAAGTTATTTCAAAGGCGCCTTGAAAGAGGTTGTGCAGTGTCTTAAGGATGTGTGGCGCATTATTCTGACGTTCAACAAGAAAGGTTGGAGGAAAGTGCGTTGTCGGCAAAGGGTGCGGGAACGTGGCTTCAAAGACAAAACTTTTGTTGTTGAATTATTGAAGCGATCAACACTGCTCCTCCAACAGAGCGCGATCGAGGGACCAGCTGGTGAATAATATTTGCTGTGTTACAACAAGAAACTGGAGACGACAGCACATTAGAAAACAGACCATGGCTGAGTTCAGTCACTTTATCTATCTGTGCTACGAGTTGGTGTTCATTTCTAGAAGAGCCCGAGCTGCTTACATGAAGGTGTCGATGTGGATATATAGTGTTCGGCAAACATAATCTGTATCACTAAAATGCTGTAATAATTTAAACTGTTTGTTTTTAGCCAGAGCTGAAGTAGAATGAAGCCGGTTAATCTGAAAAACAGAAACATCTGATCACTTAGTGAAAGGTCCTTATTTAAGAACCAACTGCAGCACAAACCCTTTATCAGTCAGAATTCATTCTTTTTTTATTATTATTATTTTGTTTGTCAGCCCCAATTTTTCATGACAGATTCAATCCCCAGAACATGGGAGACGTGTAGATCTGTGGAGAGATGCTCTGCCTTCTGCGTGAAAAGGTTGAAAAGGTGAAAAGGTTGGCTTCAAGTCGGGGGGGGGGGGACACTTGGCCAAAACGAAGCTGGTAGAGGAACGGCAGCACAGTGACTTCCCAGGTGAAGAGTGAAAGCAAAACAGCCTACAAGTGCAACATATCTATGGAACGTCTGAGACAGTGCTGTCTGTCCCAGCTGTGTCTGGTTTTAGTTGGAGAAACAACAACAAGTGTGTTCTGCTGCTGGATTACACTAATAACAACTGGAAACACGGAGGTGACACCAAACTAGCCAGTCCTCATATCAGGAAACTTCTCTTGAGATTAGGAAACTTAAGCAAAGTAGCTTTGTGCCATAACTTATCCAAACCTTAAATATAGAGGTGCCAGATCGGGAAATGTATATCATGATATATGATAGCAGTTTTGGTGCTTGTCATGTGGCAGAAAAGATCAGAACAGTGGGTCTTTAAGGCAAAGGAAAACAACCTGCTGTGGTGTTTAATTTGAATGACTGGTTTGTTGAACCCTTGTGATTCTCTTGTGGACCACCTGGACTGGCAAACACTGGTATGAAGGACAACACAAACATTTGTAAAAAAAAAAAAAAAGAAAAATCTGTGTCTGTATTGTAGTTCTTAAAAATGTACAAATAATATTTACATACAAACTGGTGCACCAACATACAAAAGTCTTTCCTCAGATGTCCGCGGCTTCTCACTGAAGTCTTCTGCTTGTTTTGCTGCAAGAGTACAACTGATTTTTCAATGCATGGGTTCATAATTCCAATCACAGATCAAGTCTCTGAGGCCTGACGGTGAGATGTCAGTGTTAATCTCAGCAGCAGAGCAGCAATCAAAACATGGCTCACTGAGGACTAAGACTGTAAACTTGAAAAGCTGTGATGACAGAGGAAAAGAAAAGGGGTTTTGATTAAACTGTTTTCTCCTCAGGCAGAAATCAGCAACTTGATATTAAGTTGAGCTAATTTACAGTGTAAAACAACCTGGTGAGGATGGTACATTCCAGATATGTAGGTCTCAGACAGGTACCTTTAATCATATGCGCAACATGTTTTGGCTGAGCCAGGCACTTAGTAACCTGAACTTACTGCAGACCTGTACAACAACTGAAGGAATTCTGTTGTTTACATAAGGTTTACTATCTAAGGCAAAAACCAAAGATATGGTTTTTAAAAAAAGATAGAAAACTGCCATTCTAAATAATTAACAAATGAGACTGTAGAAGAACATGAGCCACATGCTGCAGAGGCTTTTTGACACAGTCACGTCAGTCTGTGTTGGATGTTTATGATGCATCAGGAGCTCAAATCGACTGCAAATATATTTCTGTCCGCCATTTTCTGTGACGTGTGGCTAAGACATAAAGTTGAGGAACCTGCTCTCCTCTGCCAGAGCAGTCAGCAGTGAGCTCATGTCCCCGATGGCCATGTTCCCCGTCCCCGCTGGTGCCGAAGGCAATGTAACTGAGTTCCTGGGCGTTGTCATGCGAGAGGAACTCGGGGAGAAATTCTGGAGCAGACCTGGACTCAGGGTTGCTGACATGAGGCTGGAATGATCCCCGTCATCTAGCATGCTATCAAAGTCTATCTGTGCCTGCTCCAGTGCTGCGTTCGAGTCTACAGTCCTGGATCCCCTGTTGTGGCTTGAACCGGGAGACACTGCACCATTTTCAAAAGAGGGTACATTCAGCAATGAAGAAACATTCTGGCCCAAGTTCCCATTGGACTCAAATAGTTGAATCTGCCCTGTGTAGTACATGGTATTGTCATCAGAGCTGTCGCTGCAACGAAGTCCTGAAACTCCACTAGTGGATAATTTAGAAGCAACATCTAGGTTGCCATTACTGTGGTGCCTTGTTTGTTGCATCACCTTTTGCCCAGAAAGGTGTCTGTTGAGAGGTCTAGGTTCTGTTGGTGCTCTTGGCTGGAGATGACTCTGATTCCCAGCTTGCAAGTGATTCTGGGGGCTGACATTACAGTTCTGCTGATCTGAAATCACGACTGAGCCATTGCAGTCTTCAGTTTTAACTTGCACAGGCTGGAATCTAGCATCAGCAAAATGCCTGTCAACAGTATCCATGTCAGCTGGCTCCTGTTTGCAGCTGGGGCTTAGCATGCTGCCAGTGACTGCTGGATGAGTGGCATTACCGTTCTTATCATAAGGACTGATGGCTTCGTGGAACCTGTACTGGAATGCTCCTGCTTCACCATTCAGCTGTTTGCACCTCTGCTGCATTGTGTTAGCGAGGTTATGAAGCATCTGCTGGCTGGAGTTGAGATTGCTGTGAAAAGATCCAAAGTTTGGGTTTTGCTGGAGGACAGCCAAATTCCCTTGGACCTGCGGTTTGGGGTAGTGCTGGTCAACACCCATGAGACCCAGAGACATTTTGTTCCACTGAACAGATAAGATGGCCTTACTGTCCCTGGGTGAAGATGGACACATCTGTTGTTGCTGCTCTGGCCCCAGAACCTGAGGGGGCAGGTTTGTGGCGTTTACAGCAGCCATTCTTCTCTGATAGTATGACTGCTGCTGGAGACTGGGGTTTCCTTGGAAATCTTGATGATTGGTTGACACTCTGTTGGTTGCATCTCCATTTTCAGTGCTGAGGTCAGGCAGGTTTAGATCTTCCTCTGGGATTTCACCTGTGAACATCTCCATAGTTGCGTTCTCTGAAATGCTTGGCGGTCGCAGGCTGTAGCGGTAGAGACCGTCTGACCGCAGCCAGCCTTGCTGGGATGAATGTCGGCGCTCTGTTGCAGGAGGTGGATGGGGCTGCGTGGTCGCCCCTCCGCTCAATGTGCCTACGCTGTTGTAGCGTTGCATTTGTGCCCGGCTGAGAGATTCTATGGCTCCCCGTCTTACAGGGTCGCTGGCTCGGCGGGGGATATTAGCCGGGGTCTCGTGGGGCATCAAGCTCTGCATGGTGTAGCTGCTATACCGCCTTGGAGGCAGACCTGTGTTGGTGGGAGAGGATTCCTGGGAGTCCCCATACAGGGCTGAGTGGGTCTTCAGACAGATTTGGTCCATGAATGGAAGAGGTGTAGGTGGTGCACCCCCAGTGGCAGCAGCGTATTTTGCCTTGAGGTGGTAGTGCTGGGCTGGCGTCAGGCTAAGGGGGTTGGGTAGGCCCCCTCCTCCACACCCTCCTACAGCTTCACCGATTCCCCCCCACTGGCTGGTCTGACTGGAGCGCCGTGATATGTCAGCAGAGATTGGGTCATAGGAGTCGGCAGAGCTGACGTTGCTGGGGCGGTTGGCACCGAACTGCGAGACCTGGCTTGAGCGCCGACTAGAGTAGCAGGGGGAGATGCCTGAGGAGCGGCGGCTAAGGGTGTAGACTGAGCTCAGGGTGCTGGAGGTGCTTTCACGGCGCCCTGAAAGGTTTCCCAGCAGAGTCATCTTACCAGAGCTCAGATCACCCAAGCTGGAACCAGGGAAGGACATCTGACCACCACCCATACTTGGATTCTCCAGGAGAGACCCTGCAAATGAACAGATGATGAAAATGTTGGAGCCAAGTCAGATAGTTTCTCAGGAGTTGGTGAAGACTGAACCAGAGTTGAAAGGAGAGTGAATATTGGGGACTTGTTTGGAGTTCTGCCCCTAAGAAAGCAATCCATGTAGAATTATTCCAACCACTGTCAGAAAACCCTGCTTCTTCCTACTCACCGCTTACTGGTATGGGTGGGAGTTTGGTGCCGAGGACCGGGGATGTTGGGTTGTTGGCCCACCGACACGAGTCCCTCACAGCCTTCAGTTTCTCCTTCTTCAGATGATCCAGGTGCTGGCTGGTGCCAAGCTGCTTTCGGATGTGGAGACCCACCGCTGCGACCCCACCAATGGAATCCTCAAAGCCCAAGGACTCCACAAACGACAGGTTGTCCAGGTTGCTGAGGTCCCCCAGGCTTCCCCCGCTGTGTACCGCCGTTTCTACTCCACTGTCATTGTTGGTGGCACTGCCAAGTGGTGATGGTTCGCTGCTACATGATGACTGACCGCCAGGGCTGGACTGATACATCTAGAAAGTGGAATGGGAGGATGGAGGAGGTTGAAGAGGAAAGGGAGGGAGAGATGGAGGGAATGCAGAAAAGGAAGAGTGGAGAGGATAAAAAGAGCATAAGAGAAGCAGTAAAAACACAAGTATTTGTCCTAAAAACCAGTTTTGCTTTTCTAGAACAAAAGTGGAACAGTGGTTAACATGGCACAAAGAACAGTGAATCACTGGGGCTTTTATCCTCCCCCAGCTTAATTGTAAATAATGAGTGTTTTTGGAATGGATGGGGTGAAGAGGTGGGGGTGCACCACAGATTACAGACCGTCTTAGTCTGTCTGTGAATTAGAAATGGGCAGGATGAAACGCTGCTTGAGCCGGAGCCAGAGCACCGGGTTAATCATCACCAGATCTTGTTTCCTTCCCAAAACTGAAGTCGGAGCATTTAGTGCAGTTTTAACACATGAGGTGAACATGAAGGTCTGCTTGTCACACTGACTTGTTTGAGTTTCCTTTCTGCCACATGCACAACTTGCTGTTTTTTCATCTTTCTTAGTTTCATAATTTATGTGAACATTAATAACCAAAGCAAAAAAACACCAATCAGCTTTATACTTACAAACCACTTCCTATATTTTTAATTAATTTTAATTTTTATCCAAAGTCAAACTTTGGATAATAAGAAACATGTCTCTCTAATATTTCATGTTAGGACTTAAATCTTTCATGATTTGACATTTGCAGCTGTTATTTTCTTTATTTATGTCAATATGTTGTACAGTTCAACATTATGAATACAATAATGGCTATGTACTATGTATTCCTCTGAATTGGCCTTGGTTTCCTCGCAGACTCTAATATATTCACTGCTAAAAGCCGTCTTGATCACAGCTTGATCATTGGCTCTGTTTGCTCACCAATTCCCAGTGTTTGAATATTAATCCCGGACTGGCTTTTATCATGTTCATGCTCTGACTGGTGTTTGATTGGTCTCTACTGGGCTCCTGGATGACATGAGGAGCCGCTGTGTTAGGCTGGCAGCTTCACCTGGCAAATACAAACTGACAGGTCCCTGTTCCTTGGAAGAATAGGTCCTGTTGAAAGGGTTCTTCTGTACAAGAGGCTGTTATAATAAGAGTTATGATAAAACATGAAATCCAATTAGTGCTTCATCCTTTGTTTGTTTTTTTTAGTGGTTATTGTCTGGTTCTGATATGAAGAGTGAGTAAAATGGCAAAAGATGCTGAAAATGGCACAACACGAAGAAAGATGGCATAAAATGCTGAAAGACAGTAAACTAATCAGTAGGTGAGCTCACCTTAGCAAGGTCTATCCATAAGGAAAGTCAGAAAAGGGTCAAGCAGAAGAAAGGTTAGGGCAAAGCAAAGTTAAGTGTAGCTGTTAGAATAGAAGTCAGGCCTGACTAGTTAGTCCTGACTACTGCAGCCATTTTTAATTAATCTAAAAATCTGTTTACAGCCCATAATGTTGTTTTTGTCACTGCTTTAATGCCAGAAAGACAAACTGTTGATCATTTAATTTAGTTTTAATCCTGTAAAATCTGCCTTGGTGTGATACAAATATCCAGCTCTCATGAGTTTTTGCATTACTGAGCTGAGTCTTATCATGAGATCTCACCACGGAGCTTTCCGTCTTGATGGATTTGACGTGCAGGTAGTCCTCCACACCTCTGTTATCTGATATCTTGTCCTCCCTCTGGATCCTCTCTCTTGGAACGGCCTCATTCTCGCCATTCTCTCTGGGGGCTGGCGGCTTGGGTGGCAGGTCGCTGCGCTGCTTCTTGGTGACGTGGGCTTCTGGGCCGTGCACCGTTTTCACGTGCTTCCTGAGAGAGCTGGGATCCGTGTAGCGCTTGGTACAGCCAGGGATCTTACATACGTAGGGTTTCTACAGGTACACAGAAATATACGGACAGTGACTGAAGCTGTACAAGCTAC